CAACTGTCTCAGAAAGATGTTCATTCTTGCTATATTGACCACGATCAATTAACTTCAGCACGACATTGACAAAGAAAATCCTTTCTGATCTTCCGAGATACTGGTCAGCCTGAATATTTTTACCTATGTTTCTGTAAAAAAAGTAATTTAGTGGAAAGAGGATAAAATAGGCTCAAGCATACAAAGAACAGATGCCATATCATGCAAACAGATTCTTACAGTTGTTCATGCTGTAGGCGCTTCTGGAATGAAACTACCAAATAGAGCAGAAAACGTTCTAAAGCATAAGTCCAACGACCACCATTAGAAGGATGGTAATATCTACAAAAACAAAAACCGGTAATGAATCGATAATAGATGTTCAGAACAAGTACCATGCTTTTAAACAATATAACAGGAAAATAAAATAATATTAACATTGAGTATTTGAGTATACAAACTGTTCTAAGAGGTTGACCAATTTTTCGAAGTGTTCCTGTGCCGAGCTACCAGGCTTTAGCAAATAGACCTGCAGTTCCAGGTATAAAATATCTCACTCTACTATCAAGGAAGAGTTTATACAGGCACCAGTTAATTTACACTGCAAAATGCAGGCATCGGCATATTAAACTTACAATTGACTTTGCAATGGCCTTTGCTGGGGTAACTGTTTTATTGGAGAACAAGAACCTTGTGTTTCTTGGAACATCCACAGAAAAGGGATATGATCCACTTCCATTTGCCACAGGAACCTTAAATGCAAGATAAAAACAAGAAAGTTTTATTATATTTCAGTACTACTTTTTGATATGTTTGCTATCATTACAAGCTAAGTTACGGTATAATTATCAATAGTAGTGTATCATGCATCAGTCAAGATGTAGTTGTACTTCTTTTATGGAATGACTTGAATATCAGACAAAATACATGTAACCTAACTCTAGGCAAATTCAAGCTTTCTCGAAGGGCTCATCACTCACCTCAAACATATTTAAGTATCTGGTGAAAAGTGTAGGCAAGTAACACTCCCAATCAATAAAGTTGTAGTTCTTTACAACACGAGCTATAACAGCTGCCCATTGACTGTTCCAAAATTGGCAATTCGGTATCGAGTCCCATAGGTGCAAAAACTCTTTAATCCAACCGCTACAATACCAAGAATACAAGGTGACTTGCCACAAAAAGAAATATAAAAATGAATAAAGTGTGCCAAAACCATAAAGAAAAAAGTGCGAGATATGTGCTCCTTACTGCGAAAAGAATTCCTGGTTGTCCAAGTTTGTGGGAAGAAACAGTCTAACAAACCCAGATCCCTCAAAGGATGAATTATGCCATGGATTTTCCAATAAAGATCTGCACGTTTGTTTCATTAAACAAAAAGACAATACAATTACTCATGAGAGAGTGCGCAGAACAACTAAGAGTTCAACTATAATCACCTAGCTTATGGTTTTATTTAAACATGGGTGTGCACGTGTGTGTATCTATCTATTTAAACCAAAGCACAATACAATTTTTGTTTGTATTGACAATAAGAAAAGGTCACCCAAAAAAAAAGCTGAAAAGAATAAATTTATACAAATATGACTTGGAGCATGTGGAACAGTATTTTGCTTGTTTTGACATGGTGAAATATCAACTCAGTGAAACATCACAGAGATGGATGGAGGTGAAAAACCCCAGAAATGAAATTATGTTTCACAGTCCAACTAACTAACTCTAGGGAAAAAGGCCTCAAAGTACTTACCTAAACTCAGACCATATCTCAAAGGCAGAACCTGGTGGGAAGAACTTCCGGCAGGACCGAACAAGAGAAGTAGTAGTCTCAAAATGTCTTTGTCTCAATCTCCAGCCTTCGGGCCCTGTATTCCTGTAACATGTATCAACACATGAAGTTCTTTAAATGTGGTCTGTATGTAAAATGTCATCCCAATTGTAGTTGAGCAGTTGGTTGCACACCACAAAGGTAGCAATCAAGCCAATTATGTCAAGAAAAACAATGACAAGAACCATAAAACTATGAAGGAAATGGAAATATACTTGAAGGTGGATATATAAGACTCACCTAGTGAAATGTGTATGGATCAAAGTATCATACAAAGGCCGCCATTTCACTTTCAAGGACAACTTCTTTCGGTGCTTATTGAGTAATTTGACAAGGATGTTTCCCCATCTAACCTAATCAATACAAATGGAACCCACATTTTAAGAAACAAGAAATAATGACAGCAAGCATGTAACCAAAAAGATATGTGAATATATAGAAGCAGCTATGCGAAGTATTACCTGGGCATAAAGCTTATTTTGCGACACATGAAACAGTTCCAATCCAAATTCAACAAGAGCAGTTACATCTTCCGAAGATACGTCACTTTTTGCCTTGACAAAACTGCATAGCAAGTATAGAACCAACTTCAACATGATTAAGTACACTTGAAACTGAAATTCATAACCAATTCATTGCTATGAAAGCTCAAGTATTATGAAATGATGAACATGAGTAATTTCAAATTTCAATCACATACTAACAAATCCCAATTCAAAGAAGCAAACTTTAAACACACATAGAATAGCAAAAGAAGAAAACAACATAGAAAAATCACATAATTGAATGAAAATAGAGAAGATATAGTGAATTGGGTGTACTGACAGGTCGATAACAGAAACCCATTTGAGAGTTGAATAGACGGATTCAGGATCGTCGGGTTTGTACGAGCCTTTGACGGAGGAGACGACCCAAGAGAAGGACTCTTTCTCTTTCTTAGACTCTTCAGCCACCGGCGGTGGAAGCCATGCATTGTAAAGATGCATACTTTACACGATTTGCTTTGTGAATTGGTGATCCAATGAGAAGGGAAATTGATTTGAGAGATAAAAGCAGTGAGTATGTTGATGGTATTTATCGATAGCATTTGAAGACTTTGGCTTCAGCTTTTCTTTCTTGTCAAGAAAGTTGGGAATTGAATTTGAGAGTAGAGAGAGACAGATTGGGATTTTCCTTAGCGTGTGTGAAAGATCAAGGAGAGGGATGACCGGCTACCGGTAACGGCGCTTTTGTTCACTTTATTGACTTTCTGATTTTAAAGAGAAAAATCTCTAGCTGCTGCCTTTTTAACCATTTTATGGCATATTTCCTACGTACTTGAATTTCTGAATTTTTTCAGGTCTCGAATTACGAATCTTAATGTTGGTACTTTTCGTTATGTATTAGTAAACGTACGGACAATCATGATCGGAATATACCTATATGTTCTTTCTCCCTATATATATATACACACATTAAGCTACTGAAGATATTACTATTCATTTTTCATTAAAAAATATAGACTTATTTGGAGAGAAAAACCCAAACAAGCCACTTGTCATTTTCTAATTGGTTCTTTAAAAAATTTAACATCTAAAAACCACTTAAAAAATAAAAAATGCCTTTACTAGATCATATATAATTATAGACTTTCAATTTTTTAATCAGGAATTATAAATAATATATTAATTTGATTTGGACCGATAAGGTGCCAAGATGACCTTTATATTCATGATGTTAAAATAACATCTCATATCCCTTCCCGTTATTTATTTATTTATTTATTTATTTATTTATTTATTTATTTAGCAACAAATGCTCTATAAAATAGAAGTACTTTACGGGAGTACAAAAGATATCCTTCCCGTTATTTGTGCATTTTAAATAAAAAAATTCACGGCACAAAACAAATGCATTTTACAGTTAAAAAAGTGACGTATCGTATAAGGTCATCTCGCATATACTTGCTAAACAAGTTGAATCTTTTTAAATTTATTTTTTTCTCCTGTTGGTGTTGCAAACAAAATGATTTTTGTTAAGAGAAAGTGTTGCTGGCTGCGGAAGATTGTGAACGATGACACAAAAAGACAGAATATTTCAATGGCCAGATTGCATGCCACGTGGAAAGTCAAAATTTTAACTGGCTATTTTCTATAAAGGGCCGGCCGTAGAACTGTGTGTGGGATTTTTGCTAAGTGAATGGAAAGCAACGTGACAAATTGGATTCTGATCCAATGGGCCTACAGAACTTGATGATTGAGGTGGGTGACGGATCAATCATAGAGCAATTCTATTTGGAAACATCGTGGAGGAATTTTATGAGACATCCAAGCATGATATGATTCCCAACCCCAATCATAAAATTTTGTCCACAGCTTCCAATTTGTTCATGTAATTAAATAAATAATTTTTTTTTATATAACCGATAATAGTCGAGGGTGATTTTGAACATAGGACCTTGAATGCACAAGTAGTTGCTATTAACCACTTGAACTACAAACCTTTTGCATAAGCAAAAAAATTTAAAGCTTCCCCTCACACCCCGTATCCGAAAAATCCCTCTACCCCCTATTATGAATCATTGACGACCACGGTGGGCAATGAGCCCCTCTTCTATCCTCACTTCTACACTTCATTGGCAACCCTAGAAGTTCTACGAGAAAGAAGAGGACGAAATAAATAGTAAAGAGAGGGAGTAGGGGAAAGGCCATTGGCTACCGTTAAATATAACTCTATTTATTATTTATATGACACCTCATAATAATGAAAAAGCAAACTCACAAAATACATGGAAAAACTTACAACCGTGGCTACTGGTGATGTGAGATTAGGATGGAGGGGAGGTTTTTAGGAAGATAGGATTCCAAGTTTTATTTGTATTGAAAATAAATCATATTTTGTATTCCCTCTCTAAAGCAAACCTAACTGAACGATAAGCAACCCCGTTTCTTTTTTTTTTTCTTTTTTTAAAGTTCGCGGGATGCGTGTCTAAAGATCAAACTAGGGTGTCCGTAGAATTCCACGCACTCATATGGGCTTATAAGAATTAGACCGGAACACTTTCCAGGCCCGTCGGAGATGGAAATGTGACCGTTGGAAAATAATAAAATAAACGGCCATAGAATCGGACCGTTTGCGAAGAAAAAAAGTAACCGTTGGCAGCCAACGCTCTCACTCACTCTCAGGCTATTTTCAACAAATTTAAATACCTGAGAGTCCTTCTTCTTCCTCCACCAAAAGCAATCGATACTAATCATTTCTGTTACTTGCGCTCTCCCACTGCTAATTCTCAAAGCTCTCTCTGTCTCATTTCATTTGCTTTTCTTAATCTCTTAATTTCTGCATTGTTCTTTTTGCTCTTTCAAGGTTTCAAATCTAAGAATTTCTTTTTATAACAATGGCTGAGATGAAAGATGCCCACGTTGTGGAAATCCCAGTAGATGAAGAGCACCAACAGAAACTCTCATCTGCCATGACCATCATTTCAGCTATCCAACACCACCCATTAATGGAAATCTCCGAGAGCCCCGGCCATCTCTTGCTTCTCAAGCTCTGGCGAAGAGAAGAAGACCTTTTTGGCCGGCGCATTGCCCGAAAAGAGTCCCGAATGGACTCAATCCGGCGCGAAATCTTTCAACTCTGCTGCTTCTTCTTAATCTTTCATGGGTTCTTCATGACCATCTTGTTCACATCTTCGGTTAATTCCGAAGAGCACATCTGTAAAAAATGGTGGATACCTAGCATTTTGTCGGTTTCGACCTCCTTTGTGTTTGTGTTTTTGGTGCAGGTGAATCTTTGCAGGTACTGGAAGGTATGGAGCCAGTTGCAGAGGGAGAAGACTGACAACAGGGCACTCACTAGGTGCATTCAAGAGCTGAGGATGAAAGGGGCTAGCTTTGATTTGTCAAAGGAGCCACAGAGCGGGAAGAGGATGAAGAGCTCAAGTGTTGAGATCAAATGGAAGCCAGTGACTTGGTGCTCTCAGTATCTCATTACCATCTGCCTTGTTTGCTTTGCAGGTTTGGTGTTTCCGGTATCAAAATTCATGCTATGCAGCTTCTGAGCTTCGAGGAGGAGTTTCCGTGTTCTTGTGGCTGCGTTGTGAAGGTAGTTAATGCTCTTGCATTAGAGGGATTTGTGTATATGCTTCAGTTTCATTTGTGGTTTGACCAATTCTATTATCTGCATACTGTCTGACTTGAAAGCTATTGCAATTGAGAACGGAATTGTAGAGGTAGCTGGAGCTGGAAACAAGTCTTACATTGCAAAGTAAAGACACAAAATGCAAATTGAAAAGATAAGAGGAAAGAAAGACGGCAGAAAGCAATCCCTCCAACCACCCAACATGTGACCTTGAACACAACACTGACTTTGGCCAGACTCTTCCATCCATCAATCTCCTGGCGGGCTTGCTCCTTCATGCCTACCGGTCGTGGGTTGATCTGATCGAACCCCGGACACGCCAGAGCCCAGCACTGTTTATACGAGTCTCCAACAAGCACTTGGGAAGTCTGCTAGTATCAGATATCTGTCATGGTATCTAACTCTTTTGCTGCTGTAAGATCACCCTTTTCTTCAATGTCCAGAAGGGGAATGGGGGATGAAGCATCTTTGGTCCGATTACTAGCCAGACTCACTCGAACAACCAGATCAAACAGATCAAGCATACACAAGAACCAAATCAAGCATCTTTGGTCCTATTCAGATCATTCAACATGAAAGCTAGCAAGTTGATCTTATCTCCTTCACTACCTCTGAAGTCTATTGCGCCTGCAACTTTAAACCTGTTCGCATATGTACTACTTCGAGCCAGATCAAGGGGATATTGCTTGTGTGCTCTTTTTGTACATGTGATTATTTATCATTCAATGCTAACTTCTCAAACACCAATTTACTCAAAATTATATTGTTCTTTGTCTACACAGCAACACACGTGTGTCATACGCTGAAGGTAGAAAATAAAAGTGTCAAATACTTGATATCTATCTAATGTCATATGCTGTTCTTTTGATAGTATGGAAGTTTAGAACCAAACAGTTATGGGCACAAAAGTGCTCTACTTACAAGTCAAACAGAAAAAGGGCAAAACTCTCAGAGAAGGCCGCACTAAGCCAAATATCCTTTAAAAAGTGCCTATTGCCTCATCTTGAATGAATGCACTCGGGAAAACTTAGTACAAACAGAACCAAGTGGTCACACACCGCACTTTGTCTTGGACAACCTGTCAGCTGCTGTCAAATAATCACACATCTGCGGACATGAGGTCAGACATTAGGCTGAGTTTTTGAAGCCAAATATCCTAAAAACACCTGCAACAAATTGAGGGCCAAAACATGCATCAGTTAAGTTTGCCTTGTGTTGATGAATAAGCTTAGTGGAACAAGAAACAGCAATGCACCTTCGTCAGTCTGGTATTTGTTCTTGTCATCCCCAGCATAAGCAAGCAGATTGGATTTAGGATTCCACTCAACACTGTTCATGGCAGCCCTACATGGGATTTGATGCACTGTCCTCCCAGTTTGAACATTGGACTGTTTTATACAGCAGCAGTTATATTGTTACTAGTTTTACTTAGGTGATGAAAGATGGATTGAATTCATATGAATGAATTAGCTACAAATCCTTTGTAAACAAAAAATAAAAACTTCTGTGAATATATATATCTTCTTCTTTTTTTAAATGGCGTCTATGCTACAAAACAAAGTCGGTGTACAAAAGTAAATTGACCAGGTATGATGACAGGCTGCAGCCTTTGTAACCAGACATCCTCCCACAAGGGAGAATATACTTCTTGAAGAGATAAATTCCAAGTGTAGTGAGCCACATAAGGTACTTACTATATCAATAAATAAGTCTTCGCTGGCAGAAGCAAGATACTCTCCAGTGTTGTTGAAGCTTATTGTCCTCACAGGCGATCTGAGAAAGGTACAAACAGAGATCATTCCAGGAATAGGGATGCTGATGATTAAAGCATACACAAGAACCTAACGTAAACGAATGTGTGCAATGTCCAAAGTTATTCACTAACTGCAGAATTTAAAAAGAAAAAAGAATCTGAATAATAGGGAATACAGGGTAGAACTCACTCAAGTTTTGTAAATGTTCTCACACAGAGCATCTCTGAGATATCCCACAGGCTGACCAAGGAATCGGCACTTCCAACAGCAAAATACCTGTCATTGTATAAAGAGCATTTAAAAGAGTATATGGAAGCGCTAAAAGTAGTCTTCGTGTGGCATTTTCAAGAGAGAATTTTGGAACAAAGATAAATAGAACTACATAGATACAGCATATAAAAGTTCTTTTTCGTGATGGGATCAATGAAAGTGGACATGTTTATATGCACAGTACCAACTAATATTGCAAGTTAATGGCCCAGATGAAATCAGACAGGTTTTTTTTCCCATTAAACAAATGAAAAGATAATACATCTTTGTAGCATACCTTCCAAGTGGGTCAATCGCAATGCAATAACACCCAGCTGTATGAGCCATGAGAGTGTCAACTGGTCGAAGAGATGGGTATGCTAGTACTTCAACAGTACCTGAGCCAGAGAATATACAATAAAATACCCATTCCAAGTTCCATTATGTAGAAAGAAATTATGCAGAAAACTTGTTCTCACCATTTCCAGTCGTCAAGAAGAAAATTTCACTTGTTGTGCTCCAAGCAATTTCATTAACCTGGAAAAGAAGAAGAATGCTCAATAAGTATTTGAGGTACAGAGACAGATAATATAAACAGGATTTATCGGCATCGCTTGTATTAGGATGAAGCAACTCTGTGTAGGGATGAGAAAAACCATCTATGGACAAGTTACATGTGAAAAAAAATACCTTTGCAAACATAATCATGGGGATATAGACATTTCTACAAAAAAATTTAAAACAACTCATGTTCACTGAGAAAAGTTATTTCTTGATAATTTCATAACTTTTACGGCTTCAACATCAGCAACTCATCATAGTGGCGTGCCAATATGTTTTGGTAATTTGAAGTGAAAAAAACCAATTCATTTCAGATATAACACCTGGCCAACATAAGTATACAAAATGGTTCATGAATATATATATATATATATGTATGCGTGTGTGAAGAGAAGAGAGATAACTTAACATATTGTGATTTGGGTTCTACAAGCAATCGTTCTTAAGGTCAATTTCTAAGGTTACATTTGGATATCATACAGAATTGAATGACTTCTCAAGGTTGAGTAACAAAGTTTTTTCTAAAAGCCTTGTGCTGATGAGACATTAATAGCCTAAAACTCATATAGAACATGCAATATACAAGGGGGAAATTAAAAAGAAGCATTCCTTTCGATATTTACCTCATAATTGAACTTTCGCTTGTGAATGGGCTTAAATTTCCGAACATCCAGAATTGTTAGTTCATCATCCTACATTGTAAGGAGGGGCAAAAAATAAGAACAGCAAAACATAGCTATTAGCTATTGACACCCACTACTCATAATTCAACAAAATTAAGTTATTCACAATCAGAAAATTTAATGAAGTTATTCACAAACTCATACAATAGAGGTTGAGCACAAGTAAACATTACCCTATTACCAACGGCAATGTGCGTCCCATCAGGTTTATAGGTGATGTTAATGTTCTCGCCACTAAGTTCTGCTAGCTGCGCACATTTTCCACCTGAAGTACCCAGATGGATACAACATCAAATTCCAATCTTTGTACCTAAAAAATTGAAACTTGAAAGAGCAATGACTTACTACGGGCATCCCATAGACGAACTGTCTTGTCTCCAGAGGCAGTGGCAATCAAATCGGCATGCTTGGGGTCCCAACACAGCTGATCCACACTATCAGTATGCCCCTTCAATTCAATATCTTTAACCTTACCCTGTAACATATATACACAAATATTCCCTCATTACATAGAAATATAATAAATTTATTGGGAAATAATAATGAATTTTATTGGAACAGCTGAACTTACATGTCCGTGGGGCTCAATGTGCCAAACCCTAGCGGTTTGATCTACAGAACCCGATGCGAGCTTCGTGCCCGTGCAGTTCCAAGCCACAGAATGCACCTTTTCACAATGACACATACAAAATTTAGCATATTGAAAATGGAGAGAAAGAGATTAGGGTTTTGTGGAGGTTGAAATTGGATTAAAAAAATGTAACAGATAGAAAGAGAGGACCTTCTTCTTATGACCCGGGTACTCTCTGCTAGTGAGATTCTTAAAGGTTACTGTGGTGTCCTCCATCTCTGTCATTCTTTGAGTTTCAGTTCAAATTTTGAGAGAGCGATAGAGTCAGAAAGTTCTATTTTCGCTGTTATCGATAGCGAGAAGAGAATCAATCCCTCCATAACTGAATGCTCACCAAAGTTCACATCTTTGTTTCTTCTCTCTTTTTGGACTGAGCCCAAGTCGAGATCCCAAATTTGGCCTTAGCCCAACCCATATAATATCAAACCCTCCATCAGTCCACTGTTATTAAAAATAAAAATAAAAATAAAAACAAAAACTTTTTAAAGTAATTTTGTAAAACATTTATCCTTTGTATAGTAATGAAAAATCATAACTTTGGGAAACAAAGTTGATCTTACCTTTATTTTTTGATATATAGCATGCACCCTGGATGAGCAATAGATAATTAGCAGTAATTATAGTAGACAGTTGTATGGGTGTGTTTTTAAGCCCGAAGAATGCCTTATGTTTTAATGTGAGTGGTGCTCATGGTAGGTTGGTAGCTAGTCATTATTTTATGGTTGAATACTAGATACTCATCAAGTTAGCATATAAATTGTGTAACTTAGTGGAATATGATCAAGTATGTATCCAAAATATTATAGGGTTAGCATAATCTAATGGATATTGGCCCCGTAACAAACGTCCGTTCTTTAAGGGAAAAAAAAATTGTTTATATGTCATTGTTAATGTATCGATATCATTGTCGCCAACAAAACATTCCAACATGTTATTGATATATATTTACAATATCAATATTCATATAGAATTTATGTAATAGATATAGTTTCAAGTAATCGTATTTGTCTTTATCAGTGTTCTTTAGTTGACAACTCTATACTTTCAATTTTGGTCAATGTGATTTGTGTCGATTTAAACTTTGGTCGTTGTATTTATTATAGAGAACTGGTAGACTAAGCTTCATTGAAATAGATGGCGTGGTCCATGAGTTTGAAGCAGCGACTATTAATTATAGCAAACAAAATGAAATCTACAATATGTGGGGCGAGGACAATAATAGAATTTTAGACATAGATGAAATTGAAGTTAGAACTCCAATTACTGCAGCAGCTCTGTTATGTGGTGATTTTCATATGGTATTTGATCTTATAGCTAGCAACCAAAGGGTTGAATGAACAAAACTTAATGGACTGCTTTGAGCTTGATCCGATATTACTACGCATAAGCATGATGAAATTTAATTGTTCATTATTAATACTTGGTCAATTTACAATATATGCATCATTAGTTGAAAATTCTCGAATAGCTTCATTGATTGATTGAGAAAAAATTTGTATATTTCTCGCAACTAATTCCCAATACTAATTGATTGATTTAATTTGCCAAACAATCTCACTCACGTATTACATTATCATCTCATCTATCATCATATTTAGAAAGACATCAATCTCTTTGGCAAATAGAAGATTACTCATTAATGCATACCAAAAGAAATTTACTATCCAAATAATAGTAAAAAGAAAAAAAAGAGTTAGTAGTTAATATAGTAGTTGTGGGGATTCGACCAAAAAAAAAAAATAGTAGTGGGGATAGTAAAAAGTAAAAGGCAATGTAAGTATAAGTGAAAATCCACCGATGCTTAGACCTAGGCAATGTAACAATGCATGAATTGTTAGTAGCCTTAAAACATATTCTTGGAACATATTTGAATAAAAGAGTTTATTTCCAATTATTGACATTATTGGAGGAAAGGTAACACTATTGACTCATATATGGTGAGCACTCTAATTTCCAAAACAATGATACACAAAGTTAATTGTCAAGCTGACTTAGATAACTGCAATATCTTTATATAACTAACAAGTTTTGTCCTATGCATAATGCTCAAAGAGTATAGTTGTAGAAGTTGGTTACAGGAGAGAACAAGGATTGTTTTTGGGTAAAGATTCTTGTCTCTTAGTTTATTTTTCTTCACTTGAATCTTTTTAAAGTCGGGAAAAAGGATTGTTTGTTTTTTTGTCCAACCCGTCAGGGTTTTCTTCATGAATTTTTTACTAATTTGTTTCTTTTCCATTGCAGACAGTTTATTTTTTAACATATCTATTGAAAGAGCTATGCTGATTATATGAGGCCACATGAAGAAAGCATAGTCAATTTGCTAGTTACATGTTCAGACTTTGTAACTATTAGTAAGGTAAAGATTCTTGCCTCTCTCAGTTTATTTCTATCCACTTGAATCTTTTTATTCTTCCATGAATGTAAGTCTGAATCATAAATATTTTGTTGAATGCATGAATTGTTAGTAGCCTTAAAACATGCTATGGGAACAGATTTCAAGAATGGTTTATTTCCCGTGATTGACATTATTGGAGGAAAGGAAAAATTGTTGCTTCAATCATATGGTGATCACTCTAATTGACAAAACAATGATACAAAAACTTCATTGTGAAGCTGACTTCGATAACTGCAATATCTTTATATAACTGACAAGTGGAGAACACGGATTCTTTAGGGTAAAGATTCTTGTCTCTTACTTACATTATTTGGTACTATTGCATAATCAGAGCAGCCATCTTGTAGATATATTCCTTTGATCCATATGAGTGCTAGAGCCTTGTCTATGTAATAAAATGTGGCACGGTGTCCAACATGACTGAGACTATGGATTACACTTTCGGGTAAAAGTATAGTCTTCATCTTAGTGCGAGAGCTATCCTCAAACTTCTTTTGAAACCGTTCGGTTGTATCGCTTCATGCATAGCCATATCTTCATGTCTGCTTGCCGAATCATCAAATTGTATATTCAAAATCAATGTTGTGGGCATGAGATGGGTCTGCTTAAACAGATAAATTAAACATAGATAGAGCGTTTCAGTTTCACATTTCATCAGATAAGAATGCGGGGTAATTTCAATGTTTTTTTTTTCTTCTATGTATTGCATTCTATTCAACAAATCACAATTAAATGGCTCAATAATTTATGATTTTGAGTAATTTTGAGCTTCGGATGTAGTCTAGATGCCTCATATCATTGAGTTTAGACCGTAAAAGTGAATTGCATACATGTAGCAAAAAGTAGTAATCATTTCAGCATTAGATACAAAAAGGTAATATCCTACATTAGGGGTGGCATTTTAGACCGATAAATCGAAAAACCGCAAAAACCAACCGACATTATACTGCATTGGAACAGCAATAGCTAAAAATAGACAAAAAATTGCGGTTTTAGAAACCGAACCGCAATTGCGATTGCCGTTGTGGTATGTGATTTTGGCAACTCGAGGTTACCACAAACCGCAAATATATTTTTTTTTACTATTGCATTTTAGTAGTTGGATGTTGTGTTTTAATTTGGTTTAGTTCAATATGTTATTAATATGCTTTTACGTTGTTGCTTTTGTGTTGTGTTGTGTTATAGATGGAGTCTAGCCACTCTAACACACATAATGCCTCTAATCCCCCAAATACAAACCGATACACCCGAAACACAATCTCCACTCCAACTCATAAAGAAGGGCTTCTTCTTATAATAAAATCCACTCACCACAACTTACACTTGAGTTCTCCTTTTGGTTTGTAACTTTAATTAACTTTGAATTGGATTTTTCTTTAGGTTGTGAATTTATTTCTTTAGGTTGTAAACATATATATGCTTGAGAAATTGAGGTTGTGAATTAATATTTTTCGGTTAAAGTATGCTTGAACTCAAAAAACTTCAAAAGAAGCATCAAACCTTGGCATAAAAGTATGGAAGATTGAATTTTTATGACACAAAAAAATCACACTTAAATATCTAAAATTATCTAATTTAGGCCCAAAATATTCAAATCGGTTTAAATCGTTAATTCACGATAACCGACCGATTTTTGGGGTTTACCGCAATGCGTTAAACCGTAAAAAGCAGTCAGTTTGCGGTTCCAAAAATCACCTTATCGCAAATTGTGGTGGTTTGCGGTTCGGGTAAAAATTCGTAGTTACTGAACCGCAACCACCCCTATCCTACATACATGGGGCAATTTGGAATATTGCCGATGCAGAATTAGCGGAGCTTTCAGATTCTGATAGTTACCAAAAAGAGAAGAAGAGCTGTGACAACATTGAATGATGATCAAATGAGAGTTTAGAACAAAAGCATGGTAAAATAGGAAGCATGAAAACACTAAAGTAATCTCAAGGTCTTAGAGAGAATAAAGATCACCATTTGTTTGGATTACAATAACAAATTTGTGTTGATATAAGACTTACTTTTGTAGTATTGAATATTTAGTCCCCAATTTTCGAACCACAGACCACATAACTGCCACATGCCTCTTCTCCAACTCCATTATGCAATGCTAGAAGAATTCCAAAATAAAAATCAAATCAAATGAATGCAATTGAATAATAATAATAATAACAAAAAGCTCATGTCACTCATGTCGCTACAACTAGCCAACAGAGGCTGAGAGTGGAAATATCATTGTATAATTACCTGACCGACAGAGGCTGAGAGTGGAGGCGGAGGCGTGCTTCTTGTGATTCCTCTCTTCATATCAAATCAGCTCATGCTACTCCTCTTGTTTTTATTTGAATTGGGCTTGAATGAGGGTCTTACTAGTTAGTGGGCTTTTATTTGCATGGGTTTTAAGGAGGGTCTCACTAGTAACGAACGTCCGTTCTTTAAGGGGAAAAAAAATTGTTTATATGTCATTGTTAATCGAATTTATGTAATAGATATTGTTTCAATTAATCGTGTTTGTCTTGATCGGTGTTCTTTAGTTAACAACTCTATTTTCAATTTTGGTCAATGTGATTTGTGTTGATTTAAACTTTGGTCGCTGTATTTCTAGTTTTCTCAATTTGATTACTTTTTTTTTGTGATATAGTTAGTAGTTACAATATTACAATTATATGGCTAGGGGGTTTTCGAAGTTTCTCCAAATGAGCCAACCCTTGTGAACTTAATATATGCATGTGCTCATTAGTATAACTCTTGATATTGCTCTTATAGACATGTATGCTAAATGTGGCAGTATTGAAAACGAGGCCTATGAAGTCTTTAAAAGGATTGCACAATGCTTTGGGGGTTATTATTAGTTTTAACAATAATGTGTTGTAGGTCTTTTAAAAATTAGTTTTAACAAACTCCCATTATCAACATTAAGAAGACCAAACAATTGTAGCTCCCTTT